TAACTAAAAAACTACGCAACGTACGAACTTGAAATTTGAAATAGAGGTTCTTCTCTCATATTTTCGGCGTGCCTTAAGAAAGAATTTTCAAATATGTTGTTAGTAGTGGAGTAATTAACAATTATATTAATTGTATTGTGCAGCACGGTGGCCCGTGGTTTTCTAGCTACTTGTAACTTATCATTTTTGTCCTTCATGTAGTTAAAAATTGTTCCGAAAAGTTATGGGGATATATTGTAAATATGAAAAAAATAAAAATACACACGGGTGAAGCCGAGTAATTAAGCTAGTAAGAATAATATAGTTAAACATTAATATGAGCACCTACTGTTGTGACGTTGTGTCACCTTTGTTTATACCTTATAATGCACGTAACTTTGTAGTTTTCCTATTTTTTAATGTAAAGTAAGTAATGTAAGTAAAAAAATTTAAAAGTATAATGAAAATATATTTAATTTTCGAATTATTATTTTGCACGAAAACTGTAAGCCGACGATACAGCTACCTCAAGATACCCAACACATTTATTTATTTTTAATTTGACACGTTTCTTTAAAACATTATTGTATCTGTATTATATATTAGAATAAATCTGATGTAAAAATAAAAGAATCGTTCAACTCAATCATCTACACTTATTGCCTAATTATAATCGTTTGCATTTTATAGCGTGGAATAGACCAGACTACCAGAGTAATAGTAACGATGTTATTCTGAGTTAAGCATATATTTTATATCCATTATTAATAATATGATCGGTTGTTGATGATGAAAATAAAAATGCATCCTTTTTTCGAGTTCGGCTGGTACCATAGCTATTTCGTTATGAAAACAAAAAGACAAAGTAGGTTTATGAATATATTATATTATTTTATACGAATAAAAAATTGCACAAAGTTTGTTAATGGTATTTTTTAACGTAGGTAATAGTGTTCTTGTATACCTATTACCTACTATATAGTAAATTGATTTTTTTTCGATGTATTAAATTATTGAATAACTAATATGTTATAAGTAGGGTAAACTAGGTTTTTTTATAATTTTTAACCGCGTATATAGCTTGTTTAATACTTGAAAGTTGATAGTGAAAAACAAAACCACTTCTGCGTAAGAACTTTCTATGACATGATATTCAACAGGGGTTAACCTCAAAAATCATTGTAGAATATATGAATATACATGTTCAAGTATATAAAATTAAAAAAATTAAGTGGGTGTAATGTCCCCACAATGCTTATCTGAGTTTTGCTAATGACTAAACTAACGATTATATAAATTAAATTCATACGAACTGAAATACTATTATACCACATTCATAGAAAACGTTATAACGCACAGGAAATATGATACGTATTTTGCAAAATATGTATTTAATAATATAATACACAGTACAACATTGATTGTTAAAGACTATGAAAATAGGCTATAAATTTATAAACGTCATGACATAAATAATTAAATACAAATTTGTTCCTAATATTTTAACTTCTATGTGGCAATTATTAAGTTTATAGAATTTATTTTAAATTTAATCGTTTATTTTTATAATTACATTTTAGTTAAGTTTTTTACATGGCGTGTAGCTATATCTTATAATCTTTATCCAAAAATGTTTTAATTTATTAACGAAGTTTATAGTATTAGATTGTATATGTAGTCTTATAATACAAAAGTATTATAGTATAAAAATAAGGGAAGTAACAAAATTATCTTTTGCAACAGTTATTATTATTTTATGCCAACTTACTAGTTATTTACATATTTACATCATTCTTAGATAAATATTTAGTTCAATAAAGACCATACTACAAAAACATTATGAATACATTTGTCAACAAAAAATAAGGAACCATTATTTGTATTCATATTTAATACATATTAGAAACTATATGATGTTTATAATTTATATTTAAACTATATTTTGTTTTACCAACCTATACAATTGTCTACATTTATCATTTTACCATTTTACTATTTTCAAATTTGTTGTTCTCCCAACTCTTTAATTTAACTATGGAACACATAAATATACTACTGTTATAAGTTTATTACTGTATTTAGTTTAATGTTTTTCTCTAAAATTATACATTTATACAATATAAAGTTGATTTTATTATCATTTTGTTAAAGTGAAAATTAATTTGGTAATTTGTTATTTGATGTAATTTTAAACAACATTTTTTTTTAGTATGATGATTTTTAATTGAATTTATCATAACAAAATTAAGATTTATATTTTATCATCAAATAAAATACCATAAATGTGAAGTTAATATTAAAATAAAGATATATGTTTATTAAATTATACTTATTTAAATGGTTTTTAAGAGTAAATACTTCAGAGAAATAAGTTCTCATTGTCAAAGGCAGCAATGCATGTAAGCACATCGGCCTGAACTAACATTTAATTTGTATTACTTATGAAAGTGCATTTGCTTGTTATTACTATGATAACTTGTAGAATAGTATTAAGATGTATCCATAAATGATACATTTTTAAGTTTCAATAAGAAATATCAAAATCAAAAGAACTCAAAGAATAAAATATTATTCGTTATTTCAAATTCACATACCCTAATACCAATAAATTAAATTGTATTAAATTTTAAATACATGAATATTTGTCAAAGAATATTAATGAATAACAATATATATAACAAAAAGTTATCAAGTAACTAAATAAATATTTAAAATATGTTTGATGTACCTAGTATATACTTAAAATGAAATAATAATTAATGCTTTTATTAATTTTAATATTTTGTATTATGGTTAAGACTTATCACTTCATAATTGTTTGTTAATATTTTTTCAGTGAAAAGCTATACTCTAATTTTAACATAAACAATGTTATTTTTCGTTGAAGGCGAAATTTTTACTAACTTTAGATTTGTTGTAGGATTTTTCGTTTCGATTTTAATATTAAAAACTATTTTTTAGATTTTTCATTAGGTTGTCTATGCTATAAATTGTTCATGTGTCAGCTATATACAAGATGTAGCCTACCAAAGAATATTGGAAAAGGGATATAAATTGGGACCGAAATGTCATGATTTACTATTTAGAGATGGTCTGAAGACGTGACAAACCTTGCAGGTAGAGTTGAAAATGGTGTTAACATTTTCAGAATTTCACCAAAATGACTAAGTTCCAAAAATATATACAAAAATAGACTGGGTTGCCATGATACACGATCATTAGGAATTCCTCTACATCATATTTCTTAACATTGCAATTTCACAGCCTTCTGGCTTAAAATTATTATTTTATTTGGACAAATTGAATATTAATTTCGATAGGATTGTAATTATGAAGTATTTGACTTCACAATAATAGTTCATAGTTTTTGATGTCTATTGAAAAAAAACTATGTGATTACTAAAGATATCAAATTATGACCCACGGGGTGTAAACTCTGCTGCAGCAAACGCAGAAAGGATGATTTAACATTACACAAGTTAATTTACTACGCTTAATTAAACAATTTAGATATATTTAAACTAATAAGTGATAATAACTATATTTTAAGTTATTTAAATATTGATTTAAATGTAAATACTCGAGCATTAAAATTCAACATATTGCTTGAAAACAATTCGTTTAAATATTTATAAAATGCAAAATACTTTATACTGAATTAAAATTGTAATTAATTTATTATTATAGCACATGCACATACATTTTTTGCGTGAACGCAGTAACATATATATTACGTTATAGTTAATATATATTTTAACAAATTACAATTTAGTATTTATCTAGTCGTTATTAAACACAACTTATTTTATAAATAGGATGTAGTACGCACTTAATTTCAGTTTCAATAAATTTTAAATTTGCAGTATGTGTTTTGTGTGGTAAGTTTTATAGTTGTATACTATCATCAAAGTTGAAGATTAGAGTTTAGAATTTCATTTTTATTGAGGATTCTTAACGAAAAAAAAATCTATATCCAATTAAAAATTAAAATATTATTATCAATATTCTACAAATATTTATCATATAATAAATACATTTCTTACATTCAGTTAGAATTATTCAAACGGATTTCTTAATTTGTACTATTTGTATTCAAAATTTAAATGAGGTAGGTACATTAATTTGTATCAAACAACATTATTTGAAACAACAAACACGGTTGAGTGAAAGTGAACAGTAATTTTGGCGTTCTTGTATACCTAACAGTGGTTCAACTTGTCTCTCATCTCTCCAAAATGTTTTGTACTCTTTTAAATTGTTTTCTTTGTTATAAAAGACAACATATTTATAAATAAATTATTCCTTGTTATGTCGAATATTACTTAAAAAAATGATGCACTCCTATTATAACTAATAAGTTTATTCTTTTTATTGTTGGATTATATTTGTATTGTAATGCTAAGTCATTTATATTCAATGTATTGTGTTTATCAAATATTTTACCGATGCGTATATTGAATAATAAGAAAATAAGAATAAATAAGGTCAAAACAAATTATTACAGAAGATTGTGATCTAGATTAAATTTAAATTTTATACTATTTATACTACTCGTAGTATAGAAGTAAGATAATTATAACTTGTAAGTTATAATTATTTCAAATTATTTTACTTAACTGATGAAGTTCAATAATTTTTTTTTTACGTTAAGCCGGAGTTAATCTGTGTATATCTGATTGACTCCACAATCGTTGTTTAAGGTATAAAGATCCATGTTTATAGGTATACTAAATTACATACCATACAATATTTTTAATGTCCAACTTTAATTATATTATACATTGCACTTTCACCCGTTTGACTAAAAATTAAAATAATAATTAGAAGAATCATCTTAATTAATATGATAATATATTTTAATATCGTGTTATTCAACTCTAATAAACGTAGACTACTTTTAATCACTACAAATAAGTACAAAGGCTTCTTCGTAAAATTTGTCATGCTTATTTAAATATCTACATTTCTCCAAAGTTTGTGGTTGTAACCATAGATATATAATGCTAGTCTTTTTTACATACCTTGCAATTTGATACGCATCTACAGCCTTGTCATTTTGAAATCTGCAGTCAATAAACGCTACTGCTGGCACTCCATTACCCTTGTGAAAACACTCCAATGCTTCTTCCGTACTAGTAACACGGTTTACAGTCCAATCAAGATTTCTGGCTGTTGTTGCTATGGACTGCCACACCGAATCATCTTTAGATGTTACTACCAGTATCTATATGAATATTATAAATTGCATTTAGAGTTTAAATTCAAAATTTGATATATAAAAATAAAAATAATTTTTATTCAAAAATTCAGAATTCAAAATGTAGGTATTCATCATAAAGTAGTATATAATTTTAGTATATAATTTAGTAATAATAACCAGGTATAGGATTATTTATCACTTAAAAATATATGAATACACACAAAACAATTATTGCTTGACGAATGTATTAACTGTTTGGATTTCTACAGAAATTATAGTTTCCTGAATTAAAAAGGCACCTTTCAAACACTTCAACCCTTTTATGGCAATGGTCAATTTTACTAAGTACTTAAAAAATTCTGATATTAACTAAGTATACATGTTGGTTTATTGTTAAATGAACATAAGATTAATACAACATATTGTAACTCTGGATATTTAATGTGCGCACTACTCGTGTTATTATCTATAGTTGGATTTCAAATTCCAGAATAGTAGGTACAACTGTACAAGAGATCGGGAGCCATTCGAAACACCTACCTATAATATATGGTAAACCATACTAAGGTCTAAGATATTTACAACAGACTGATCATCTAAATGACTGTCTAAGTCAGACAAGTCACAAGTCAGCCTATAAAGCCATGTCTCTAATAAATCGAGATGGTATTTTTTTTGAAAAACCCAGTTGAAAGTATGAATAATCAATTTAGCCCAGTAAAAAATATATATGATACTCCGAAACTAAAGAAGATCTATCATGGGCCACATTTTCTGGATTTATCTTTGGCATATTATATGGTCTAGATTAGGGGTATTTTTCTGAAAATGACTAAGCTAGTTAAATGCAAAGCCACTCTACTCTACCTATATCTGGAGAAAATACTATTAAACCGAAAATTCAGGGTAGCACATGGCTATCTGATACACAACTTAACAGATTACATTTAAAAGAATAAACTAAAGAATTGTAACGATATTATTTCGAAGCTATCAGTCACAAGTTGGGGCTGTCACGTCGCACAAATGTGCTTCATACTTTCGCTCTTGTTTTAGATGTACAGTGTAGCAGAATATTAAGCGCCTGTTTAGGCGAGAAGTGCGCAGTGCAAGAAAGTCCATTTATAGCAGAACCACACCACGATAATCTTTACAGGAACTGTTAGAGTTACCTAAAAGACTAAAATCCAGAAACCCTATATTATTGAGCTTGGTACCCTCAAATGAGACAACAGAGGAGATATGTGACAAATGGGTGGACAATCACAAACGAAAAAAATCAGTAATACGTTAGGGTTAAAATAATAGAATAGAAAAAATAGAAAAAAAGTTATTTAAGTGACCAATAATGAAAAAAAAAAATTGACAGAAAATTAGAAAAATTTTAAGTTATTATTATAGTAAATTCGCGTTATTATACTGTGATCAGACATCAGTTAAATTTAATTTCTCGTCACTTTTTAAAAAATATACATACTATTGTATAACATCCTCCTGTGAAAGCTTAAGAAATTGTAAATAATGAAGTGGGTAACTAGTAATTTAATTTATTTTTAAAAATAATTATCAGTTAAAACTTATAATCTAATTATTTTTATTTTTATGATGTTATTAAAATTACACTAATTAAGATAGAGATAACATGGGTGTAAAAGATTCTTGAATTTTAAAATAATCTCTTCAAAAATGTCTATGTATGAATATATGATACTCGATAGGTATAGACAAACATATGGAACTGTCTCAGAATTATGCATAAAATAAAATAGATAGTATTGTTGTACTAAGGTTATAGTTTATTATTTATTTATAATCAATGAGGTTTAGAATAAAACAATTTTAAGATACCATTTAAGACTTACTATAATATTTATACTTCATTTTAGCATTTTATTTGTTCATGAAAAATAAATTATATTAGCTGTGTAACCCAACTTTGCCCAGGAACAATAAAATGAACAAATATACAATTTGGTGCTGCATCAACGGGCCTCTGTTGTAGTGTACCTATTTTCAGTTCACGTGCAATTCGGTGTCCGTGTAATTCGCTTTATGATCTATTTCTACCAAGATGCTAATCCACCCGTTTCGGAATGGATATAGCAATCGGTATGTTTTCAATCATGGTTCAAGCTATCTGTCATACTAAAATATAAGCTACAAACCTTCAGTTCATCAGGGTTAAAATTATATCTATCTATCGTTTTATCTATCGTTATTCGTTTTCCCATTACATGATACAATATCTGTGAAAACCTCGTCAAAATAGGTTCATCCGTTTTGAAGCCTTTTCCGGCCAAACAGACAAAATATTGTATCTGTGAGTGTTTCATTGGATATTACATTTAATCGTGTACATTTAAAAACTACAGAGTATACAGTTTGAATACTTTGAGTTTGTGTATCACAATGTAAATTTTAGAAAAAATAGTGAAGTAAATAGTAGAAATAAATAACTTATTTGTAAAATAGTTATTTTTGAAGAGCTTGGAGGTAAACGATGTCTTTTGTCATGTTAGTAGAATGTGCATACAAAATATATTTAGGCGTGCCTACCTTAGAACAGGTGACATATAATTTATCGTGAAAAAAGGAAGGTATTTCCAAATAAATCCCCTCCACCTATATTTTTTTTACGATGTTTCATGAAAAAAAATATCCAATCATAATAACTATTTTGTTTTCTGTAACCAATGGTAACTTTATGGCCAATATAGTAAAGAAAAGCAAAAAAAAATATTCGATTTTCGTTAACCGAAATAAAATTCATGCGTGAGCCCTTATTTAGGGGATAAATTCCCTGATTTATTATGAACCAAGTTGCTCAGAGATTGTATAGCTTTCTATTAGTGAAATCATTTTTGGGATTCGTTCAGTAGTTTTCAGAGATTACCCACTACATACAAACAAATATTATCTCTTTATATATTAATATTTAATATGCGGATATAACTATATTAAGATAGATATAGATTATATAAATGTAAATAGATATATAGTATAGATAAGTTATCAATTATAATATATGGTACCTACCTAAATTATATATTAATATTAATATTTGATGACCTACTAAATGTTAAATTTGAATTTAAATTAAATGTTTAACGTCATACCTTTTTTAACGAAGAATTTGAACGTAGATCTTGAATATATTTTGAACAACCAAACATGAAGTTGTTAAAATTGTCAGGTGTCTAAACAAATATATTATAACAAAAGTATTATTTTTCAACTTCATTTTTATGATTGTGAAATTAGCTAAAATGAAAATTTTAATCACCTGAAAAAAATATTTATACAATCTATTATTCAGAGTGATATAAATCCATTTTTTAATGTCTTATGATATAGTTTTTTCAACTAACCGAAATTTGATAAATGTTATTTAAATTAACGAAGAAGAGTTATTTTATTATATAATGTATGAGCAACAAATGCCTGTATACATTAATTGACGCAATTAAACAATTTTTAAATTAAAATCAATATATGTAATTGTATTAAAAATGCAATTAAGTTGTGCCATTTAAAAGAAATATCTCAATAATTTTAAAAACGGGTATGAACCAAAATACGTTTGAATGCATAGTTAATTAAAACAAATTACTTAAATTATAATTAAGAGTATATTATATATTAAAAACAAGTACTTCTAAATAAATAGTTTATTTTAATTGTATAATAAGCTTGTTGTAATGATAATCATGCATTATCTAAAGAATTAGTACTCAAATTATTTTAAAATGCTGCAAATAGTCTAAATATTTAAAGAAGTTAATAATTATTTAAAACTGTGCAAAGAAAAAAAATCTTATTTGAATATTAATTCAAATAGAAACATCCGGAGTTATCGATTTGCTTAAGTTAGCTTTTAAGTATTTCTTGTCATTGAAGTCATCCTAGTGATCAATGTATTCAGTTTAAAATCAATGAAAAATAACAATCTTCAGAATAACCTATAATAATACTGTATAACTTATTTATATTACTTTCAGTAACTTTTTTCCATTAGTTATGTTAAAAATATGTTGAACATTTTAATTTAAAATAATTTTAGCACACAAACATTGCATCTATTATAATACTTTAAGCTATGTTATTGCTTTTTAACAATTATAAGTCTATACTACATTGCACATTGTGTACCTTATAATAATGTATATAGGTTTGTGGTATTATATTTGATTAGAATGAGTTAAAATATTTTTTAAATTTCATGGCACGGTTATAGAAAATAATAAATTTCAGAAATCGAAAAGTTTCAGGGGTATCCGGTGAATTAGCAATCAACAATATTATTGATCACCGGAGAATTGATTTACGTTTTGACAAAATATTCAACTATAAAATACTCGCCACACACCAACTTATAAGCGAAATGCTGTATCTATATAACTCGTCATAAGGTATAACGGAAATAAAATAATTGGCACAGAAGTAGTCATTATTATAATCGGCGAGAACTTCGATAATCTATGTATGATCGTCATCGTCATCTATAGTCTAAACTATCAATAATTCTGTTGAAGGATGTTAGCATAATGGATTTTCTCTATAGATTGAACTCATCCCATCTGACTATAAGGAGAAATTAATAAATTAATTTAAAAGGGAGGACTGTCTACAGTTACGGATAGAACAACTAATCGTGTGAAATACAATAGGTGTTAAACTGAAGCACAAAGACCAAGCAGAATGAAAATACAAAAATATAGGTCATCTACGTTACAAGATATAAACTTCCTTCTATAATTTTCAAGTTCGACTTAAATGATATTAAAACGTCTTATGTTGTTGAAAGTTAATCGATTATAATTTTAATATATTATACTTTAGGTAGTATCATCGTATTTGTTAAATAATTTTAATTTTAAGAAACTGTATCGTCGGACTGTATTTTAATACTTGTTTTATTTGTATACAAAATATAATTTAATGAAATGATTAAATATATTTTTAATTAATTTATTCCAATCAATTATCCTGGTGACCGATATTATTACGGTGATTAATAATTATCGTTCGAGACCAATTAACCGATATCTGTTTAAAGTTCTGTTACAATTAATATTTTCAAAAAATAGTACTGTGTAAATATTACCGGTTTTTAGTATTTTTTTTTAGTCTTACTGTATCATTTTGAGTAATAGCCGATATTTTATACTTTTGAACTCAAATGTACTAACTACCAAAAGCGCCCTAAAAGTTGAAGCATTTTACTGCTCATAAAGATGACATCAGATACACAAAAAAATAAAATAAAACACATTATTGTAGAACCGATTAGTTTTAACTCAACTCAAAATCTAAAATTGTTTCCTCATTTATATTTTAAATTGTAGATTATTATTTCATACGCTGGAATAAAGATATAATTGTAGTTTGTGGTGGTTTTGAAAAGATAACGTTTTCGGACGGTTTTTTTTTCAATCTGATGGGTATACTAATTGATTTATAGTAGTTTAAATCTGTTCGAATTTATATCGGTATTTAGTTACAGAAAACCGAATATAGAAAGGCAACAAATCCCAATCTACGTCAGTAATTAAGAGAAAAAAAATCAGTACGATTAAATTTGATGCTCAAAGTAATTCAATTAACAATACATATATATTTTTTGTAAAATTAAAACCAACGGATAATCGTTATATTGCTTGAAGCTTATAATTTAAAATCGTTTAATGATTTATGAACAGATAAAAAAATAATCATAGCTTTTGATTGGCTTTAATTTTAATATATACATAGAAATATTTAATTTAATATAGAACTTATTTTACAAAATGTACGAGTTTGTAAAAGTTAATTATTTTAAATATAATTATACAAACATACTTCCTATTATACAAAGTTGTACTGCAAAGTAGTCTTACAACAATTATACTTACATTCTTTTTATAATTTATATATTTTTAATACTAACATCTGTAATGTTAATGTCTAGGATACAATCTAAATGCATAAATTAATTATTAAATGTATTAAAAAAAATTTTTTTTCTTGATGATTTCGTAATTGGTTATTATTTTTTTTAAATAGTAGTTACAAATACCTACCCGTGTCTCATCTCATTACAATTTTTTCCATTTTTGGTCAAAGGGCAGGGTTGTTTATTGTATCTATTTAAATATTTTACTTTTCCGTAGAAACTTTTAATAATTTTAATATGTTTTCACAACTCTATACATATAAATATATCTCTCCAAGTGTCACTTTGGCTATTTTCACATTCTGTATCTGAATTATTGGCATACATTATGTATTGATAGCAGACGTGTTAAAAAAATATAAGTCCTTTCCGAATTAGTACAGCAACATAATATGAATATACGATATAAAATAAAATTCGAGCTGTAATGTAATCTGGAGTGGGAAACCCGATCATTTAGGTGTGTCATAAAGAGATTTAATATAGAGTTTTAAAATAATGTTAAAACAATTGTGAAGAGGTATTTATTATTATTATTATTATTTTATTTATTTGTATATAATATATATGTATAGTGTATATAGATAAATTATAAATAGTAAATATTAAAACATGTTTGTAAGTTTGAATAAAATCATATTTTTTTTATAAGAATACGTTTTAGGCAAATTGGATAGTTTACTGTTCAAGAACAGCAGAATTTATACAATTTAAACTTCTTAGTTCTTTGACGTTATTTAAGTACCTATTGAGTATTATTTAAAAAATAATTAATTCACATTTTAAATGTATTTAGATACCACCAGAAGTATTTGTGAAATTATTAATAAGATTTAATGCATAACAGCTTTTAGTTCGTAAACAAGTAAGAGGAAATTATTGTTCTGACCGAATCCACATAATTTGACTTGGTAAAAATAATGATTCTTTTATGTAGAGCTACATTATAACGTTGATAGATTATGAATAATATTAATTTTTAATTTGTTGTTATTATTTTTTAATAGGTTTTATATTTACTTGTGCTAGTGGCGAATCACTCCGGTTTATTGGTGAATATGCATCTACTGTGTCCCTCGACAAATCAGAAGCAGATCCACTCCTTCGACAACAGTTGTCCCACATTTCTGGCAAGATATCCCGTAACTAAAACATGACAGTTAAAAACATTATAAATAAAAACTATTATCATTCGAAGCCTTAATTTAATTTTTAATTAACAATTTGCAATTTACAAGTGTTAATGACAAACATTTAGAACATTTAAATTTATTTTCTATCAGTTGAACAGTAATTTTCAAAGTTATATATAATTGTATAAAACTTTTGATTACATTTTTAAGATGTTTCTTTTATTTGATCAACATTTAATCAACATCTTAAGACCGCGATTTTCACTTTTTCAAATCTATTTAAGGACTTATTATTGTTATACGGGAATAATACATCTATTCGTTTTAAGGTATTTAGTATAGGTATTAGGTATCTACCGCATTTTCATAAAACAAAAAAATTTATAAAATAATTATACAAAGATAAAAAAAAAAAATACCTATAAAGTACCTATATTGTTAAAAATAATATACATATATTTTTATTTACTGTAAAAAATTACTTAATGTAACACATTTCATTTTTTCAAGAATCCATTTTAAAAATATTGTTAATTATTGTATAACATAGTGCTCATTCAATATTTAAATAATGTTTGAGTGATGACAAAACTCGTTAGAAACTTCAAAGTTCCGTGTTTCAAGGCAATATTACTTTCAGTTATTTACGATTGATTAACTTATACTTAACGATTTGCAACTTAGACTCAATAGAATAATTACTTGCAATTTTGTATTGATTTTTTTTTCATTACTGAATCAAAATTAAATATATATAATAATTGTAATATGTTACAGTAAATAACTTAATACAAATAAATACATTAATGACTAGTGGATTCATGGAATAATATAAAAATAATTAAAAATTTAACCTACTATGACCTATATATACATAGATTAGATTATAGATATTTCCGATATTGTATAAATAAAGCTTTAAAAATGATTTTGAAACAATGTTTTATATATAAATACATCAATGAGTACTGTATCAATGATGATGTTCAAGTAAGTAACTTAGAAATAAAATACATAAAAAAAAATGAACCATAGTTATAAAATAAAATGTATTCCGCTTTAATTTTTAAAAAATATGTTGATATTTGACACGTTCATAAAAACCTATATGATATGACATGAAAAGTTATCAAATTTCACTGAATATAGTCAACAAAAGTAATAGGTGTAATTTGGTATTTGCTAGACATATTAATACAAGTTATATCCTACATCACATTCTAATTACAAAGTAGGTAATACAAGTAAGGTTCAGTTCAATAATATTATCCTTAATAGATTATGTAAATGAAAGGTAAATTTGTTAGATGTTATTTAAAAACAATAATTTTGAACAATAACTAACAATCATTTCATTTTTATATCCAACTATAATTGATATAAAATTAATACCTACAATCGTTAAAATAATATTATTGAAATAAAGTTATCATATATGCAATGTAAATAACACCGGAAAAACTCGAATAATAAAAAATAAATAAATTTAAGTCGATAAACAATCAAAGAATAAATTAGTTTGTTGGTTCATAAGATATTATTTACTTTTATTAATGTATACTTTGTAGATATAGTTTTGATTAAAATGATTCACACAAAACCAAACTTGCAGTCAGGTTGTGTATAATGAAATATATTAAATTAATATTTAATATCAATTAAAAATAAGTTCAAACAAAATAATAATACAAGCTTTGTTGATTTAAAGTTATATATGAACCTATTGGTTACACTCACTTCTTATTGTCCTTAATAGAATGGTCATAATATCTAAAATGTTGTTGCGGATAAGTCACGTTTCAAAACTAATAAAGTGTATTATGAAGAAGATAATTCAAGTTTTATCTACAGGTATGTGATTACGATACCATATTGGTGAAGGAATGGACTGTAAGTTTCCCAGAGGAGGTAAAAACGTATTACCAAAAATCCACAAGGGAAATTGAGAACTTTGTACATATATTGTTCCCACGTCATAGATACGTTGTAGACTCCAGTCTCCAATATAATACATTAATACAATCTAAAATTAATCTAGTTTTAAATCATTAAATTGTATTTAGATTGATAACCTTGAAAAATAATATAATCCTTGTTCAAATATTATAACATTATATTGATTCAATTATTTTAATGAAAGAAGTTTCATTTAAATTAATAAACTTGTATATTTGAAGTAATAGCTTCGAATCAACTATAAAAGTTGACCACGTACTTATTTAAATATTATTAGATAATAGTACACAGAAATGTTAGCATAAAATGTGAATTCATCTTATTTTATTTATAGAACCACCTAGAAAAAAATGTAATTGTGTAAGCATATACATTTTAATGTTATTTATAAATTCGCCCCAAATTAATACATATTACTATGAAAAAGTAAACATTATAATAATTTAATGATTATATTAAAATGCTTTCTTTATGAGATTTGAAGAGAAAATAAAATCAATATTTTAATACAAATAGAAACAAAAATATTATCAATTTCTCGACTCTTTAAAATTAATCTGACAAATCACAAAACACCATTTGATTTTTAAGAGTCTGTTAAAAATTTAAGGATTATTTATTAATTTAATGGATGTTTATGAAAAACGGAATTATAAGAGCATTAAATTGCTCAATCATTTGATTTGCACATTCATATTCTAATTAAGTATTTATCTACCGCATCCGGCGTTTCACCCATCTTCCATTTTTGATATCTAAGATTTCTTCATTGATATGATGATTATAATAACATGGATTGTTTATATTAAAATTATAAATATAATTAGTGAACTATAAATATTTTGTAAAATGCAAATCATTTGAATAAACTAAAATGCTTACAAGTTGTAAATTGGTGATATTAAATTGATTGTAATAATATGTACAAAATATTTATAGTTTTGGTAAAATAAAGTTCAATTTATAAAAAAGTTTCTTAACTTATTTTCTACCATAATACCCAAGCACAAATCATTCAGTTGAAATAATGAGTTGCAATGTTTAGAAATAATTATTCAAGCTATAACTCAATCAACAACTTAATAATAACAATGAAACATTTTTGAGATATTTTCTGTGTTCATATATTTGAAACATAAATAAAGATAAAACAAAATCAAATTATTTGAAATACACAAAACAAATAAAAGTTTCTTTTTCTAGAACAAAGAGTCCGATACTTAAGATAATTTATTTTGAATTTTAAATCATAAAATAATATAAATAATACATCTTTTTGTTTGTTACCATTTCATAGAGTAAATATTACGTACCTATAAATAAACACGATATGTGTATCATACGAAACAACTAAATATATTAAACAATATGAACAGTAAGATATTATTCATTTCAATTATTTTTCAAACTTAAAAACAGCTCTAATAAATAGAATAATTTTCAGAATGTTATATTAGATTCTGAGCGTAGTGATGAATGTATTGTATTTACAAGTATGTATGTGTGTTCTTTTGTCATCAACATGGGTGGGGTAGAAAAAATGCACCAATTTTCAATATCAGGATCTTTTATGATAGAAAGAAGTATTTAGTTGATGCATTCGGGAGGTCAAAATTCCCAGTAGTTTTCAAGTGTTAAAACAAAAAGAAAAATGAGAATTTTCACGCAAAACCATTAAAAAAAAAATCGATTTTACTTCATTGACGTAACTCAAAAACGAATAACACTTAAAATTTTCACCGAATATTGGTATTAGCATTTTCCAAATTATTTGGTAACATTTTTGAAATATTATTTTTTAAGCTCTTTAAACATAAATGTATAGTAACAATAAAACAAAAAAATTGCTTATAAATTATAATGTCGATAAAAACTTTGTCACTCAGTAAACAATCTTAAAAATATAATGCATAGTATTAAATTTTCTTTGATAGAAGTTCATAAATATTAAAGATAAATATTCACGATTATTTTTTGTATGCATTTAAAGTTCAAATGTTGACAAAAGTCATCAGAATTGCGAAAATTTGCAAATTATTTTTCAGTTAAAAACTCATAGAAGTTTTTCTTTTAGAGCTAACATAAGAAATTTTAATAGAAGATCCTCACAAATTATTCAATCTTAAAAAAAAAAAAGTTTTCTGGAAAATTACGCTACTATAGACATTCGATTATCATTAATTTTTTTTTTAAATTATTAAATTTGATTATTTATACAAGGATCATTTATTTTATTTATTTTTAGAATCATTTTTCGTATGTAATGATTTATCATTGAATTCAAATATAACACATCCATAACAATGGCATGTACAACAACTACTGTACAGCAGAGTGGTATACACGTATCCACCTTTTTTATATTTAATGAAATAAAAAATAACGTCATAATTTTTCATTATATAGGTACTTGTATAAACTACAAAAGTATTAATACTCTCGTTTTTGAGTACAAGCAATGGACATACAATATTTTTACCATAAAATAATTTGTAACGTTTAAGGTTTTATTAATTTTTTTCATTACTATACAAATAGCAAGACACACACTTAAATGTATGCGTAATCAAGTACCTACTCATTTATTTGTATGCTTATATTGTGGTTGCCAGTTGAATACCAAAACTTCGTAACTTTTAGGAATTTATATTTAACTTTTTTCCTGAAATAGGATAGACTGACACTTCTATCACTATGTTTTATTTTTATCAAATTTTATTATTACAACAGTTTTACAAAAGTTGGACAGTACAAATTTTAAATACCTACCTTTTTTAAAATAATAAACAAATAATACGGCAAAAAAGAATAATGTTATTAATTTTCCCTTTTTTTTTTTTTTTTAATCTAAGAAAAAGCCTCGATAGCGTGACCATTGGCTTGTTTTTAATTGTACCTATTCTAGGACAATTGTTAGTTTATTATCCCATAAAAATCTTATAAATCACAAGAGAAAATGTACTAATTTGTGTACAGGAAAAAATAGAAAAGTAATAATACTTACTCTACTTCTGCAAGCTACTCCGTTATTCCTCACTGGATGTTCCACATTCCATATTTCTGTGTTTGCTGCAAACAAATTAAAAAAATATATCAAAACCAAATGTCAACTATATCACATTATTTTTATTAAATAGTTTATACTATAAATATTAAGTTCTATCAACACTAGATAATTAAAACAATTTTCAAAATGTTTTCATGATAATTTGTGTTATTTACTATAGGTATATAAAATTACAAATATTTTGTATTTGTGCTGTTGTATTCATTATAAATAATTTAATGGACAATATGATTGTGTTAAATAATTAAATGATTACTTACCATGGCAATTGAATTACCTATTTCTAACTCAAAATATACCAAGATAATTTTATAAAGTAAATATTTTATTGTTTTATAAAAATTATAATTAAAATAAGTTGTAATATTGGAAACAATCGCTTAAAAAGGTGTACTACAACAACGACATAATATAAAAAACATGATTCTACACAAAACGAATTTGAAAATTTAATTTATGTGGATAGCCAATGATAAATGATAATGTCACAACTGCCTTCTAGCGGCTAATTGTGTATTTTCACTTGTGTCGTTCTTGCAGCATAGAAAAAACACCAATATTATTATTATTTGCAAACAACTCAAAAAATGATGATTTTTCGTCATAAAACTAAATCAATTAACTATATACGTCAACAAAATAATCACTTATTTAAAATTCTGAGCAGTAAATGCGACAAATAATTGGTATATAATGATCTATTTAAAAAATAAATACATTTTTTCTGGTTTATCATTTCTTTTCAGAGCAGTAGAAATGAATGAATCATCAACTTTGAGGATGGTTCTGCTTGTGTAGTTGGTACTTTTTAGGGGTTAGAGAATAAAAAGTTTTCAATTGGTACGTACTTTTCAATAATCGCAACAAACAGAATATTTAGTTTGTTTGTTGTAATTAAAAAATAAATAACAGTGGACTTGAAATGTTCACCTTTTATTAATATAACCATTTACTAGACAAGATATAATTTTCAAAACATTTTAAATTTAATTTTATAAAAGTTCTCCACCCTAAACACAAAACTAATCTACAAAGCGCTACTCAAACAAATCTGGACGTATGGACTGCAACTGTGGGGTGCAGCAAAAAAATCTAGCACTAATAGAATCCAAACGTTCCAAAATATATCACTCCGACGATTATCCAATGCAGAGCCCTATATTTCTAACTACGCTCTTCATAATGATCTCCATATGAAAACAATAGATGAGGAAGCACGCATTTTCTACACACGTTTTCATAAACGACTCCAAACCCATCCCAACCCTCTCATAAAAGATCTTTCTATCCTTACTCTCCCAGGAAATCCTAAACGCAGATTAAAAGGGAAATAGTGCCGTGACCTTTTATAAAACTTTAATGTCTAATGTCTCTTAGTGGGGGGAAAAAAAAAAAATAAATAACTAATCAATAGCCAAGAGTCACTAATGGGTGGCTGCTTAATTCATACCTTTCATGTCATTTTTAAATACTTTCATCATATAAGCTTATTGTGCAAAATTTTATAGATTTTTTATGTCAAATAAAAATAAAAATAAATTTATAATGTATCATAATGTTCACTTTTTACTTTTTATTTTCGATTTATGTATGTAGACATTTTTGTTTGCTTGTTGGTAAAAAGGTTTAAACATTTAATAAAAGTTGTAATTACTGAAATTATTCAGACATTTTTTCATTTTAATACCTATAAGATTAAAAAATGTGAACAAGGTTCATCATAAGTTTTTCTTAAGTACTGGAATTCAAAAACGTTAAGCATAAAGTAACATACATTTTTTATGAGTGTTTGAAATTCAAATGTTAATAAAATTGAGTTTTCAAACTTAAAACAACAAAATTCGTCATAACTAGCAAGATACAATAAATACTTGAAAAGGAACATTATACCTTGAGAATTTAAAAGGAATTTTGAGGTAGTAATCTAGGATACAGTGCTCCTCTCGGAGTGATTAAACCAAGAAAAACGTTATTGATAAATATTAATAGAAACATTTTAGGTCAATAACAATAATATTATATTATAAGCTTTTTTTTCAAAAACAAGTTCATCCTACTATATTCTAAAAGCAATATAAATATATAATACAATATTCTTAGAAATAGAACCTTGCCATCGGGCCTCTCTCAGAATCGTTTTACGTATGCAATGATTATCATTGAATTTAAATTTAACACATCCATTACAGTGATCAACTCGATGACGAGACTCACTCGAAAACTACTTTACAGACGAGCTACTCTCTCGGTTTTAACTTTTAAACCATTCGGTAAATAAACTTGATACACAGTACATATTTTACAACCTAAAGAAAATACAGAATAGGTACAATGGACATAATAATTGTGATAATTTAGAAATCAGGCAAATAAAATGATGCTCGTGTTAAACTTTGATTGAAAATATTCCTATGCAGAATGTGATACACGAGAAAAATATAAATGTAACTTTTCAATGATGTTAAAATGTAACATACATATTTAGAATCTAACGTTATAGTGTTAATAAACACTCATGTGTATAAAATATACCATAAATAACCCATAGTTGATGTAACAAATTTGAGACAAAAATATGGAATGTAATTTATTTTTGAGTTCAAATTACTTATAATGTTAAAAATAACAAGCCTTTTGTCACTAATATAACCAAATATTTTGTGCAATCGAGTTTTTAAGTTAAAATTTAAATACTTTGCATTCAGTATATTCTGAATGTGGTTTGATTTTCTTTATTCAAGAGTTATAACACACACGGTTGTAATATTAATATTGAAGTTTTTAATTTATATTAGTTAGGTATTTAATACCTATGCTAATTATAAATAAATACATTAATAAACTGTTGTGATAATATTCTTAACATTAAAGTTTAATGAACATATAAATATATATTATATTCATAAGCAATAACAATATGTTTTTCAATATAAAATATTACGAAAGTTTTACTATTAGAATCTAAAAGTAAAGTGTGTAATAATGACAAGAAAGCCTATATGGATTATGAAATATAGGTATAAGACAAAAGGAGTTTTTAAAAACTTAATAGGTATATCAGCTTGAAATGTAATACGTCTATATAATATGAAAGGTAGGTATGTCAAATTTTCTGACATTATCACATTCACATATATCTTACTAAGAGAGGTCTTCTTCACCATTATTGCAGAGATAAATAAGTCTAACATAAGACAAGTTTTAATTTTGTTTTTGTTTTTGTTTTTTAGGCAATTTCGCTTTGGTTATATTATATAAGCAGGTTTTCGTATACCCAATACAATTTATAATTCACTACAAAACTACACAAATAATAGTAATATAATAAAACCGATCATATATGATAATAGTATACTATTTTATAAGAGTTAAGTTACTGAGGCTATTATATACACATTTATCCATTGTGATGACCTCATCCAAATAACCAACTTTACACCAAATATTGTGATTACCTGACAAAATTAACTCTGCGAATGTGTGATGAGTTTTCGTCCTGTCGGCTGTATGCGATGCACGATTCTCAACTACCACCATCCTCGATTAAATACGAATTTATTATCTATACATTTAGTAAAGTATTTTAAATTTATACTGATAATGTGTCTCTAACTGTGATTTTAATCATTGAGATACCATGGGTTTTTATACCTCTAAGGGATTGTATAAAATAAGATTATGTGTAAAAAAATGGACATCTGTGAATTTAGCCAAAGATGTTAATTTTGAGATACTTTAAGTGTAGTAGATTGTGAAATAAATATCATCAGTATGATATAAATTATAATTAGCGGTGAACCGCTTCGGGAAACGACTTTAATTTCTATACTAATATTAATTTCACCATTAAAGTAGTACCTACATTTATATTAAGATATGATATAGCCAACTTTGATGACATTTTTAGTTAGCAAGGAAAACGTATAGATAATAATTAAAAACGAATAAAAATATCGTTGTTCTGGCAAACTTTCAAACGGTGAATACAAATTGAAATATGGAATAAAAAACGTGAACTCCAAAACTAAAAAAACAGAACAGAAAAACGTCTTGCTATTAAAAATGTGGGAATAAATTACTAGAGCGACGAAAATTGAACGCAATAACATGACGTGACTAGACCACCATAGTACATATTACATAACATTCATAAAAGCTACATTTCAAATAAAATTTAAAAATGGTATGATTGTATAATTGTATAACTTGACACATTTTGATGGATTTTTTTCGTTAATCTAATACGATTTGTCTACTATAATTAATGAGAAGATCAAGCTGTTGCAGTGTTAACTAGCTACCTTTTAGGAGAGCGAGATACAATTACCCCTCGCAATTAACTATTGTAAAAAATATTCCGAGCTATTTACTATCATCCCTTAAAAAAAACACCTCCCCCCCGCAATATGCAGCATGTATAGTAGAAGAGGTAGAAACTAAATGTGCAATAAAATCCTGAATTAACTACTGTTAATATCACCCACGCTAGCGTGTTTGTCGAAAATAGAACAAACATTATCGCTGCCATAATACTAATAACGCAAAATCTCGTTTTGAGGGGAAGAATTAGCAGCGTACGTTTTGTTTTAAGCCTATCCGACTGACGGCACATCACGTACTCGACATCCAGCAGCTAACCCAAGCGCATCAGTTTACTATTTTTCGATAAAAAAAATAACGGCAATATCTATATAATTATAATATCTGACAATGCAATACATATTTTAAAGATAAATAAATTATAAATTATTATGTGATTTAACTAAAAAAAGTGCATAAAATTGTTTGAAGATAAATATTGCATTGAGAGCAATAGGACTTTATTATGAAAAGTTACTATATCTACTTTGTACCAGTCCACATATTTCATTACATTTTTACTATTTATAATAAAATACCTACGAACATATAAAAAAAATGTCGTTACAGCAGAGAACAAAACTCTTAATAAATCATATTAAGGTAGGTTTTTAAGTCCAACCCACTACAAAACATAATTCAA